TTGTGACAAGTCGTACGAGTCTCCAGCCAGATTTAGTTGCAAATACACGAAATATGTTGGAATGTAGAATCTTAATTTCAGGTAGTATCAGTTTCCCAAAATTTGAAGAGTACTACGTAAGCTATCAAATGAAGCTGAATAGAATATGCCTTTTGTTGTTATTTTATTTTATATTTAGTACATTACTACTGAATCTRGAGTACGTGTCAACAAAATGACGTCACAAATTGGGCTTAACCTCCTCACATATCTCAAGAAATAATATTTTGAAACAAATTTCATTATGATAKATATTCTATTATACTGAAGTGCAAATAGRATTCATAGGGTATCCAYGAGTKTGCCATGCACCGAATGCAATAATGGAGGCCACTTTATTATCATAAATTTTAAAAGTTTAGATTAGAATGATAGAAAGAAAGTTAGARAGTAAATTGTTTAGAAATTATGAAAATGTTTAAAAACACCAGAACTAAAAATGCAAAAATATCTGTAACTTAAAAGTTAGTTAGTTCGGCTGCACACAGGCTAGTACCATCTAACAAGTAGACCAGGCATCCAAGTGTACCGCCAAAGTGTGCTTGGAATACTATTTATGTCCATGTGTACTATCTAACCAGTAGACCAGGCATCCAGGTGTACCGCTGGAGTGTACTTGGAATACTATTAATGTCCATGTGTACTATCTAGCCAGTAGACCAGGCATCCAGGGGCACCGCTGGAGTGTGTTTGGAATATTATTAATGTCCATGTATACCATGCTCTTCAGTTGATTAGAAATGACACAACAACAAGTGCTAAGTTCTCGCTCATTTGTAAGGTCATCAAACACGAACAGTTATTAAAGCTTGAAATACAAGAAATTCTCCAAAGCCTGTCGGCAGATTTATAAACACATCTCTTTTCTCTTCTCCTATGAAACATATAGCTACCCTCTGATAATCGTTAAAATCTGTTATTTGAAATTTTTTACTTGCTTTCTCGAAAGCTCTCTCGATCTTTCCCTGACGTTTTGTAGTGATTATACTAGATTTTGGGACTAGAGCTGTGATTGGCTAATTTAAGAATGTTGTGCTTGGCTCCTTAAGCAGCTGCTACTGAGTGAGCGTTSCGTGACGACACGCGTAGAAGACTACCGAGGTAACCTACTCTCTGAAAAGTGCAACTTTAATACTARTATCCACGAGTTTGGCAAAGGGCGATTTGATAATGAGGTAATTCTTTACTTTTGGACCAGGGTCTCTCAAGGAAATTCTGCTCGCACGTATCTTTAGCTTTCTCACGCAATCACGAATACGTGTTGCCATCCAAACTATCTGTAAATATTAAAACCTCTTTCAATATTGACCTTTATCGCTCGCTTCTTATCACGAAAATGATTCCTTAAAAAAAMCTTTTTTTTCAATTAGAAAGTGTAGAAGTATTGGCATAAAAATTCATATAATTTTTTATAAATGTATAACTCAACATAAATACTTCTATATGGATGAAGAAATCCCGGTCCTCTAGACATAGCATGTTTAAAAAATGTTAAATTCCACGACAAAAACATCTTTGGGTCGAGCAAAACAACGGATAATATGATTATTCCGTCGAGAAAGCAAAACGGTCTACACGCATTCTTTAGTTATAGCCAGAATGAAAGATTCTCGAAAATTTGCGCTAAAASAATAACAGGAACGAGGAGAATTTCTTTTTCACCGAACGAAGCCAACAAGGTGTGAAGAGGTGTTGTTCGATGCAAGCTTTCGCGTCTACTCCAGCGAATATTCTGTTCAAATTAACTGAAAAACGCGGTCGAAAGAGGTCTGACTTTCCGCCACATTTTCGCTATCCAAGCTAAACTAAAATGTTATTTTACACTTTGAATATTGGAAAATGAGCAAAAGTATTGCATTTGGTTCAAAATACCTTGTTAAAATGCGATGAATCTCTCGATTGCCTATGGTCCTACAGCTTCTCATACAGGATTTAGAAACACGTTTCGTTTCGATCGGAACGTCGGCTGTCTTAGGTCCATCAAACTGGTTTTGAAAACCTGTTTGACTAGTATCACGTGGGAAGCTAAGAGATGAGCCTGTAATAGCAAACACCACGTGGTGCCGTACGTCAGTCTGGACTATGAGATGTTTACTTTTCATCTTTATATTTAAGACGTTARAATCGATCGTACCTCATCCCTCACCCTAAGGGAGGTTTTTCCTAGTACATGTAGTGGTA